CTTGGCACTCCAGGCCCGTGCCGAGGTGGGGGAGCCGGGTCCCAAAACTCCCCAAGCGCGCGGGGGTCGTCTCTGCTTCCTCGGGAGCCTTCAGCGTTGGCACCCACTGGCACGGCCGGGTGTGTTTTCGTGCCTGTGCCTTACTCCAGGCTGGATCCTGCCCAGTGCTGAGCCTCCTTGGTCAGAATTTCCTGCCCGCCCCGTTTGCTCTGCAGAGCGCCGGAGCCACTTCTTGGCCGGGGATCGCAGGGCTGCGCTTTAAGGCCAGCAACACTTTGCTGGGAGGTGGCAGCCGCCGTCCTTAGCCTGAGCAGCAGGGGGAAAATCCCAGCTAGGAGAGAAAGAGCCGAGGGATCCTGAGCGCGGGGAGCCCACGGGCTCCTTAGGCCGCGGCTGATCTTGCTGGCCAAGCTCACTCGGGAAGTGTCCCCCTGCTCCCCCTGTAAAGCCCCTGGGGGGGCTGAGTAGCGGCACTTTGCACTGAGATCTCAGCGCCCAGCCGGATCCCCGTGCCGAGGACCGCGGGAGCACGAGAAATGCAGCGGGAAGGCCGAGTGCCTTTTATCGGGCTGGAGGCAAAGCCCCCGGAGCCTCCTGATTGCCTCGGTGCGGTCACCCCGGGCTCAGTGCGGTCCCGGAGGGTGTAGAGCGCTGATCCGGTGGCGTCTGGCCCCCTGGGGCTGGCGTACAGGACTAGGTGAGGTGCAAGGTAATGGAGAATAACCCGCTCCCGTCGTTATAAGGAACTGAAGCCCGGTCCGTAGCGCGCAGCAGTCAAGCTCAGGTGGAGCTAACCTTTCCAGCGCTTTGCGCTCCCGCCGGGGGCTCGCCCCTGATGTTGGGCAATGGCCGTCTCCAGCCCAGCGCGTCCCACGCACCGCAGCCGCCCGTCATCCCGGGAGCGGTTGAAAGCCTCCAAGTTTCCACTGCGGTTTTGCTCCGCCTGAGATAAAACCCGGCTCCCGCCAGGCAGCTTTAGCTTCTTCCGCGGCTCATCCTCCGGTTTTCATGCTCTTGACGTGATCCCCATCGTCTGCATGCCCGAGGGACGTGGAAACACTCATGATTTGTAGCGCAGGGAAACTGAGGCACTGCACCTTGGGTCGTGCAAGAAGCCTGGGTCACGGCTACGCTTGGCCGGGGAGTTGAGGGCCATGCTTGGCCCGTAAGACCGCTCCTCCGCGTTGCCCTCACAGTGCCTCTGGGACTAGTAAAACAGGAATGAAATGGCTGTGGCTTAGACCCGGCGCGGCAGGGGCTCTGGGGTGAGCCAGCTGCAGGAGCAGGGGTCGCTCAGTCCCTCGCTGAAATCAGGAGGATTTGCTACTGATATGGCCTGAGCCGCTGATGAGCTCAATGGAGTTGGAGGCTCTCTGAGCGCTGTGCGGGCAGGTGGTTAATTGGCTTTTTGCCGTAAAGGAAAGGCCCTGGGATGCGGGAGTCCCAGCTCCGCAACCGGCTTCCTTTGCGGCCACGGGCGCCTCGCTTCACCCCGGGTCGCCCTCAGCCCCTAAGCAGGGTGGCGAGGTGGAGCGCTTTGAAGGTTGGGCGCTGCTCCGTTAGCTGTAGGTCCACGGATTATTCAGTCCTTGCCGAGGCGCTGGATCTCCTTTCCTCGCTTGCCTGGGCGGCTGCGTTCAACACGGTCGTGCCCCCGTTAAATGCTTCCTGAGTTCCTCCCTAGAGGCAGCTGCATTTCAGCGGGTTATCCCTGGAAGCGTCGCTGGCCAGAGACCTTTTAGACCAAGTGCTTCGGGATGCCTTCAAGGCGCTGGCCGCCAAAGGCAGCGGTGGCCTTAGGGTTGTTGCGGCTCTGGCAAGAGAGTCGTTTCGGGCCCCTTAGAGGTGTCATTTTGATGGCCTATAAGCAAGTTGGACATTTGCTGCAAAATTTTGGGGACCCTAAAGCACGGGGCCCCAGACGGTCGCCCGGTTTGCCCTCCCCTAAGCCCACTACTACTGGAGGGATATAAAGACACCTAGATAGCGTGGCAGCTAGGCAGAGGCATACCTGCGGGAGTTTGTTATACTGGGCAGTATCCTTCATTAGCATGGCCATAGCCGTCGTGAATAATAACGTTTCACAGAGAAGTATCCCCAAGCAGTGTGGTGTCTCAGATCGTCGAGAGCTCGATCCAGTCCGGAGGAACAGGCCAGCTTCTCGCTTGCAAATGATGTTGTCAGCTGGACAGTTTTTCTTCTTTAGTCCTAAAACTGCTCTGCTGGTGTTGGAGATTCGACACGATCTGCCTTTGGAGGTGTCTGAGCCTCCATGATGATCTCAGCATCATGCTCCCCGCAGGGCTGGGGTCCAACCCCACTGGAAGGAGAAGGTTGCTTCACTGAGGACTCGGTGGGGTGGGGGTCCTTCCCCTTCCCATCCCGGCGCTGTGCTTTGTAGCTGGGGCCTTTCTCTGGTCCTGAGATGACCCAGGCTCGGGGCGGCTTTGGGTAATTGGGATTAATCCCTGGAACTAATTTGCCCATTTTTCCAAGGTGCCCGTCATGGTGGTCCTAGTGTCCGGACTTTGAAGGGGTTAGTGGATCAGGATGGGGATGCATCAGCTTCAGGGTAGAGCATCCAGGATTTGGCCTGTGGTGATAATGGGGGAAGCCTGACTGAGCTGGGTGGGAGCTGCCCAGGTCGGGAGGTAGGTGCCGTGAGAAGGGCGCATGGCTTTTGGGCCGGACACCCGGCAGCACCGGCTTGGGGGACAGCTGGTGGGGAGAAGCCGTGTGCACATGGTGGGGCTTAATCCTGGGGTCTTGCCACTTGGGTTTGCTTCAGTGAGAGAGCTCAGCCCTGCACTGGCTGGGGCCCAGCATGACCCATCACCCTGGACAAACCCTCTGCACCCAAAGCGCTTTTACCCGGGGGAGGCTGGGCTGGAGTCTGCCCTCCGGTCCTTTTATAACAAGCCAGAGAAGAAGCAGCAGGCCTGGACTTTGGCCAGCACCACTGCCGTCCCTCCCCTGAATTCGGGGGTTTGGGTCCTGTCTGTCTGCAGGTCGCATCGCGCGGGGCATGGGCGGCGTGACCAGGCTGCCCCGTTCTCCTGGGGCTTCCAGGCACTGCAATGTCCAGGCTACACGTCTGACTGCTGTAAAAGGCACTCGCGCCAGCTGCGGGTTTGATTTAGATGGCGGTCCATCATGGAGTGACTCCACTTGGGTTTGTCCGGTGTAACAGGGCAGGACCTGGCCCCACGTACCCCTTTAACAAATGCTCCCTTGCTCCTAAGAGCCAGGAAGAATCCTGACTGGAGCAGAGGGCGATGGTGCGGGGGAGCAGTGTTGCTGAGTGGTTGGATCAAAACTCCTGGGTTTTCCCCCTGGCAGCTGGACAAACAGGGCAGCCAGGGCATGTTTCCCGTTGCGAGCAAGCCTCTGATGGTGCACTGACATGAGCAAACGCTGATGGTAAATCCTCTGGTTTGCATTGCAATGAGGTCTCCCCCAGAGCACCTACCTGTTTTAGGATAGCACCTCTGGGGAGGGGCTGGGAAGGGGTTTAAAGCCAGCGGGGACCAGCCAGGCTTGCACTGGGATAGGAGTGCCTGCGGGGGGGTGGGGGGAGTCCCGCATAAAGACAAGCCCTCGCCTTGCCCTCTTTCAGCTTCTCTGAGCTGGGGAGGGCAGGTCCGCTCAGCGCCCGGGGGCTGCTGTGGGAATTGGCTTGCTTGTTCTCCTGCAGCACGGGGGATATGCAAAGGGCAATGCCGCCGCCTAAGAGCTAAATCCCCCCTGCGGGGCTGCGAGGAAGGGCTGCGAGGAGGGGGTGAAACTGTCTCATTGCAGCCCCAACGGGGATGGGGAAGGAGTCGGGGGTCCCTGGACACGTCCTGCGGGCATTGCCGCTGCCTGACAGCAGCCGGGGCAGCTGCGAGAGCCTCTCTGCCCAGGTTAGCGACAGGGCATCCCGATGGCTGGCGGCTCAGACACAGAGCCCGTTATTATCTGCTCCGCTGGAGGCCCGGCCGTGACTCCCTGCGAACCTCCTGCAGCCAAGCCCCACCGCCACCCAAGCAAGGGCGGGTTAGCGCAGCGGCCTGATCTCAGCTGCTGGAGGCCAGGCTCCAGCCCCCAAACCCTGGATAGAGCCGATGAGAAAACAGACCCGCCAGCGTCAGAAGAGGCCACTTCTCCGAGACGGAAATGGCAAAGGAATCACTCACAGAAAGGGGAGGAAAGGAAAAAAAAAAGACTCACTCATGAGATTAAGGAACAAACGGGCTTTTGACGCAGCCGGAGCGCATGCCAGTGGCCTGGCCGCGTCCCAGGGGCCCAGCGTCAAGTGCCGTCTGCTCAGAGCATGGCTCAGCCGGCTGCGGGGATGCATGGATGGATCACCAAGCCGGCACGGCACGGCACACGTCCACTCCTGGACCACAGCGGGCCACGCCGGGGTGGCAGCGCTCCCCGTGGACCGGCCTGCTCTGGGTCCCCGGCAGTGGTGGGATGATATCGTGGCATGTTTTCAAGCTGGGTTCATTTGCAAACACGTTGTGCTGCCAGGATGGGTATGAGATTCCCCCCTGCCAGCCCGCGCAAATGATCCCTGCTTTCTTTTTAGTTCCTCAGGTTGAATCTCTGCCTGTTACGAAGTTACTAGGGTTTGAAAAGGCTCGTCAGGGTTTGTTTTTTTTCCTAAGATCCTCCTGATTTCTGCCCGCTGGGTGTCGGTGGCTGTCTCGCCTAGTGGTGCTCACAATCCGGGGCCCATCTGTAGTGCCCAACCCAAGGCGAAGACAGCAGCAGGGTTGGGAACAGGCAACGCTGACTCTTGGTGCTAATCCTTGTAATGCCGCTCCCCCGCCCCATAACCCTGGGGTCTGGTTTTCAGAGCTTAATCCCTGAGATCTGCGAGGGTCAGTGGGCTCCAGAGGGCCCCAGAACTGGGAGCGAAGGAGTTGGGGGTGGGAGGTGGCCTCTCTTAAATGCTGTAGTTTGCAGACAACTGGGCACTTGCAAACCCAGTCTATACACTTGAAGAGCCCCGTTCCCCAAGCTGGGGCAGCGTGCAGGATCCATGCCTCTGTGCAAAGCCCTGCACACAGGGCAGTGTCAGGGGGGCACAGGGCAGCATGCGTGCAAAGGCCCCATTTTAGTTTTGCATTGGCTTCCTGGTGCTTAACCCTTGCTGCGTCTCAAAGCCGCCGGCTCCTGAGCCTGGTTCTCATGTCCTGCTTCCTCCACGCAGGGGGGATCTGCTGGCTGCAGCAGGGGAAGGAAGCCAAATGCACCATGATCCTCCAGACGGGCGTGACCTGGGAGGAGTGCTGCAGCAATGGCAACGTGGACGTGGCCTGGTCCAACTACACCTACCCAGGCAACAAGATCAGCCTCCTGGGCTTCCTGGGACTTGTGACCTGCCATCCGTGCAAAGGTACAGGCGCCAGCTGATAGGACGTATGGGCCCGGTGGCACTGATCCCAGCAAGGGCCTGTAAAAGCCCAGGTGCCCCTAGACCCTGGCATCATGTGCTTGATTGATGCCTATTTGCATTAGCCCAGGATCACAGGCTCGTGGGCTGGAAGGGGTCAGAGCCTCCTTGCAGCCTCTGGGCCCCAAGCAGCTCCTGGGCTTGGAGGTTTGGGTTCGGATTTGGCCGTGGCAGGTTGTTGGGAGAGGTTGGTGTGGCCAGGCAGGAATCCCCGTGCGAGACATCTACCACCCTAGGAGACCTGGACCGTTCCAGGCAGCGTGGGTGCAAAAGGGAGTCCGAAATGATCTGTATTACAGAGCGCAGCTGTCTCAGAGCTTGTCGCAAATGGATTTGGGGGTCTGGGGTTTCTCCCCAGCCCCGTCTCAGTCCCCACCCCGGACCCAAGAGCAACGGAGTGGGATCGGCCATGCAGTGCCAGCCCTGTATGGGGCAGAGAAAGTTCATCCCTGGCTTCCCCCTGCCCACTGGAGACATAGGGCATGACTCTTGGCCAGACAGCCCACGGTCGGAGAGGGCATGGAGCCAGTGAGCGCCCAGGGCCTGTTCCCGGGTAGTCCTTCCTTCCAGAGGTTCCCTCCGTGGGGATTTTCCCCTCCCCTTTCCTCTTTCAACATCTCCGTGGCTTTTTAATTTTTATTTTTTGCAAAAGCGTCTTTATATAACGGGCGCCTTCCCGGAGCGGAGAGGCTCCAGCTGTGCGTGCCGAGCCGTCCAGATGTGGCAGAGGTAGCCAGCTGCTCAGGTCCTCCCACCGCGCTTGCATGGCCATGTGAGGACAGGTCCAAGGACCTGCTGACCCAGTAGGAAGGGTGTGGGCTTGGAGGGTCAGGCCGTAGGAAACAAGAGCTAATTCACAGACCGCCAGTCTCCCTGCACTGCCCGTCAGCTCCAGCCCAGACCCCGCAGTCTCCCGGGCTCTAACTCAGCCTTGAAAAGCTTCCAGGAAGGGCAGAGGAGTCAAAACAACGCAACAGCTTGGAGGGGAGGAGTGGGGCGGAAGCCAGCCCTACCCTCCCGACTTCAGAGCCCTAATAGAGACCAGGCCGGGCTGGAGGATTAGGAGCTGGAGCCCGGTCCTGATCCCCAGGGCACCGGCATAGCTTGGTGCCGAGTAGTAAGCAGCAATGGGGAAAAGGGAAGGCAGCAGAGGCCTGGGAACTCAGGGCTGTGCAGGATCAGGCCTCGGGGCCGTTCTTGCTAGGACAGGCATGACGGCTGGGTTCAGCAGTACTGAGCCAGATCAGCGCGCAGAGGATATGGGAGGAGAGAGGGCTGGCTGCAGGCTGATGAAAGACTTGGGTGCACGGCCGGAGCCTGATGCCGCGAGAGAAGCCAACATCTCCCACTTGGAGCCGGCTACCTGTGCCCAAACTGGCCTGAATGGCCTGGGCTCCTGCCACGGGGCAGGGACTGGAGCACAGATCAGCTGAGGGCTCGGGACCAGCCCAACCTTGGCCGTGGCATCAGCTGGTTTCCATGCTATAATCATCAAGACTTTGAATTCAGAAACCCGAATTCAAATCTCAGAGAAACTTCCTGCCTGCCATTTTTCCTGCATTTGTGCAGAGGGGTGGATCAGATAACCCTTGAGTTTCCTTACAACTCCATGATTCTATAAATACAGATCTTCAAGAGAAAAAGAGAGCCTTACAACAAATACCAAGCCAGCTGCCACCAAAT